TACTAATGACGATTGACAAAATGACAAAATGGACAAAATGAACTCCGTGCTATATTCCAAGTGTTAAAAGTAACAGTTAAGCCATAAACTCAACAGCAAAGTGTTTTCTGAGGTCACAGGTCAACTGACTCAAAAACTAGTTTCCCATAGACCTCTATACAGCCAAAGGTGTTTCTGCTGAACATTTTAAAGTATTCAGGTTTCACTTTCGCACTCAACGGTTCATTACTACTGACTTCTTGACTTTTCTTTTGTCCTGCAGAGTTTGATGCTGCAGATCGCGGTGAACTGGATTGAAAAGGAGAAACAGGAAATTGCAGCCTCTAAGCAGACCTACATGGCAGAGAATTGCCCCCCTCCTGCGCTGAGTGGAGACCAGGCAACTCTCATGGTGAGAGTCAAAGCTCAACTGAAAGCTGCTGAATGGAAATCATTCTGAATATTCCCTTTATCATTATTTCATGCAGACAATGGTTCTTTTATTTGAGGATTTCCGAATTCTTGTCAGCTCTTATTTATAATATTCATTTAGTGAGGATATTTGTAACTATAATATCCTCACTAAAGATGAGTCCTAAGTAACCAAACATTGGATGTGTCTGTTCGCTCAGGAAACCTGCAAAAAGTTGCACGCCCTCATCGACAAACTTGATGAAGAGAGGTACGACCTGGAGATCAAAGTGGGCAAGGCTGATAAAGAGGTACACTTCCACCTGTTCTGCAGAACAGACTGGCAGCTTTTCACATCCACAGAACGTGTTAACCTTGAAATCACTCAGTGTGATATAGTTGTAAACAAAACAGGAAGGCAGGTTGTTCTTTCACCTTCTTTCTTGCACAAGATTTGCACAAGAGTTAAAGCATCAAGTACAAAGGTTCACTGTAATAATCAGGTTGGTAAGATTGGAGTAGGGCTACTGTATTAAAAGCCTATTTGAAGCTGAGTCAAGACAATTTTAGTTTTTATCTGTTCAGCTGCAGCTGTTTAATGTTCTGGGCGTCAATAGAGACGACATATAAAGAACAAATTGAACTCTGTGCTTGATCTACATACAAATTTGATATAATTTCAACAAATATAAATAGATGTCCCATATTAGTATCATAAATTGTTGCACATGAGAATCCACATTTCTTTCCATATTTCAAGGGTCTTTCAGAAATCACGTCATTTTCCTTAGAATTGACTGATCTGTGGTTATTTCATACCTATTAGTCTCAAATCTAGAACATTACCTCCTACAGAGCAGGTTAGATCTGCAGTGTAAGTTACCATGGTGATGTTCCCCAGGAAGAAGTGAAAGTAATACTGAGCACCAAGGTTAAATCCTGAAGTTATCTGGATGAGCACAAATCCTTTCTCTTTGTGCATGATGTCTGCTTTATTCTTTATTCTTGATATTTCCTACAATTTAGATGCATGAGAGATCATTTTTTTCTCATTAATACTGATTATTGATTAGACTGTTTTATTTTTAACATTTAAATATGGATAATAAAGTAACAACAAAATATATTGTACATTTAATTTCCAGCAAATTTTGTCATTTATTGTCACACCAAGGAATTTAATTTCACTCTATCTTAACATTTTATTTAAGTATCTAAATTTGATTTATTTTATACATAATACTTTGAATTGTCTGTTTTTCAAATTTAGTGATAATTAATTTATGTTAAGCTTTTTTAAATTTCTGAGTCCTGATCAAGTTGATCAGGTTCAAAAGTTGTTGCAAATTCTTCACAGAGCCGGAGATATTTGTGTAATCAGCAAATTAAAATAAATCAATAAATAAATCAGACATTCTAGAAATATCATTGTCTGAGTAGCAGTAGCAGTTTAGTTTTCATAAGCAGAGCCCCTCCTGCACTGCTAATGTGATAAACTCACATTACAGATAAAACACCGATGTAGGGTGCATGCCAAATGTAAAGCGTTTTCAGCGTTTCGCCGCTGGTTCTAAATGCGTCCGCACTGCTCTGCTTTCGACTTGGTTTCACCTTTAAACTGCTTGGTCGCTCGTAGATTGATGACCTGAAAATCAAAGTGGTCGACCTGGCTGGAGTGAAGAAGCCCGCTCTGAAGAAAGTGCGCATGTCTGCCGATGCCATGCTGAAAGCTCTGCTGGGCTCCAAACACACAGTTAACCTGGACCTCAGGGCCAACCTGAAGCAGGTCAAGAAGGAGGTGAAAGAGGAGGTGAGTGTTTGCATTTAATATTTTAATTTAAGATTCATTTAGGAGGCTAGAAAGTCTTGACTGTCTCTGACTGTCACTGTTTTTCCTGCAGCCTGCAGAGGCGGTGGGCGACTGGCGTAAGAACATTGAGGACAAGGCTGACAGGAAGAAGATGTTCGAGGCCTCCTAAAGAACTGCTCGCTGCTCTTGTAGCTGTTCTGGGATGTTAGCACTTTTTATGGAATTTCTGGCATTGCTCATTGAATTGAAAAACCCCTTTTCTCATTAAATTTGTAAGTTTCAGCCTGCTGTGTTATTGTACATTTGTATAACTTTATAAATTTCAAAGGGTAAAAGCTGCTTAAACTTTTTTCATTAGTGTAACTTCCTGTTTCCATCTGTACTGATGTTCACTTTTAGCACCTTCCTGCTCCTAGACTTTTTGTAATAAATGTATTTAATTTCCTACCCCTGCTGTCGTTGGATGTTTTGTCTTTGACTCAGTGATGCACAACACTGCAAACTGAGTGCACAGCGCACTGTTTTCAAACTTTACAGTGCTGAGCTCGTCTTTCTATGTTTTTGTCCATGATTAAAGCAAATGTTGATTTGGAACAGAAACCAAAGTACATTTTTTTCTGCAATGACGACATGTTGAAGTGAAGTTTTACATAAAAAAAGCTTAAAAATTGAAAACAAAAACTTGCAGCTGATTGTTAACGAGTTCTGTTTGAAGGTGCTCTTTGTAGTGCTGTGCATGTCAGTGAGGGACAAGACACAATATCCATGTTTTTCCTACGGCATCATTAGTGTAGCAGTGATGTCGACTTGCAATTGGAAAAGCCATTTATCACTATATAGAAGGGGTTATAGTGTGTTCAGGGAGCTGTGAAAAGTGAATGTAATCTTTTCCTTTTTAATTCACACTTCATAGTATTTAGAAAATACAGGCCCCTCCCCCTTATAGACTGTATATAAAGCTGGACAGTGAATCTACGCTGGGTGGATTAGGGCCCTTCTATGTTCAAAGGAGTAACCTAGAATCCCACACTTTGCAATATTGAATTGATTTGATCAGACCACAGTTGCATTGTTAAAAACAGAATGCTACAGTTTCTGATGTACAAAAGCAAAAATGTCTGTGTTAGCAGGAAAGCTAACATTTACCAGAAGCAAGACAACTCCAGGATTGAGAAGCAGTTTCTCAATGAATCAGATAAACTGACCTGACAGTTGTCTCCTGATGTTGGGTAGATTCCCATTAAGCCAGACAGCCTTCAGTAGGTAAATGTGATATACTTCCAGTTAACCAAACTTTAAACTGAAGAAGGCTTGTGACAATATAATGATTTTATATTTTTATGGCAAGAAAGTACATCTTTATTGCCATAAGAAATGACAGGCAGTGCTATCTGTGGTCTAGTAAGACTGATGCATCTTTGCAAAGTTTGGTTATTTGATAAGAAAACTTTTATTTTTGTAAAGTTTTTTTTCTTTTAACAGAGACATTTTCCCTTAAATCAGATCCTTTCTTCTCAAAATTACAATGTTGGGCCTAATACACTATCACCACTATCTCACACTGTGTAGAACTGTGGTGTAACCACGACAGTCTGGCTATGTTGGAAACTTGCTCTACACTTATCATTTATTAGATAAAACCTCTGCGTGACCATTTTTAGTTACAGTCTACAAAAACTGACAAAATGACAACATAACAAGAATGAACAAGAAATGAGTTCTGGAATTGAAAAATTAAAATTCATAATTTTTGTTATACATCTGAACATTACACTATAGAACTGCATACATAC